CAATCCTAATATCTGACAAAATAGACTTTAAACTGAAACTAACCAGAAAAGACAAAGAGGGCTATTTCATTTTGATCAAAGGAACAATCAATCAAGAAGATATTACAATCATGAACATATATTCACCAAACTCTGGTGCATTCAACTTCATCAAAACAATACTACAGGACTTTAAGACCCAGATTAAGCCCAATTAATTAATAGGAGGTGACTTCAATACCCCACTGTCTCCATGAGATAGGTCAACAGGGCAGAGAGTTAACAGAGAGACATCTGAATTAAACAATACCATATATCAAATGGACTTAACAGACATCTACCGAGTATTCCACCCAAGCACCAAAGGATATATTTTCCACTCAGCACCCGATGGAACCTTCTCCAAAATCGACCATATACTGGGGCACAAAACAAACTTCAACAAATACAAAAAGATTGAAATAATTCCATGCATTCTATCAGACCACAGTGCAATAAAGCTTACAATCAACTCCAGAAGAAGCCCTAATCACCACATGGGCACATGAAGATTAAACAACATACACCTGAATGATGAGTGGGTCAAAAGAGAAATTAAGAAAGAAAAGTATTCCTGGAATTAAATGAAAAAGACAATACAACACAACAAAACCTCTGGGACATGCTGAAAGTATAGCTCTAAGAGCCTACATCAAAAAATCGGAAAGAACACAAATAAATGACTTAACATTGCAACTCAACTCACTTGAACAACATCAGCAAATGAAATCCAAACCCTGCAGACAAGAAGAAATAACAAAAATCAGGGCAGAAATTAATGAAATTGAAACAAAGAAAACAATACAAAGAATCAACAACTCCAGAGCTGGTTCTTTGAAAAGATAAACAAGATTGACAGACCGCTAGCCCAATTAACCAAAAGAAAGAAAGAGCACCTCCAAATCAACAAAATTAGAGATGAAAGGGGAACATCACAACAGACACCAGAAAGATACAGAACATTATAAGGGAATACTTTAAAAAGCTATATGCTACTAAATTTGAAAACCTCAAAGAAATGGATGCATATCCAAAGACATGGGAACCACCAAAACTAAACCAAGAAGAGATTAACAGCTTAAACAGACTTATATCACAAAAAGAAATTGAAACAGTAATACAAAACCTCCCAACTAAAAAAGCCCAGGACCAGATGGATTTACGACATTTAAAGAAGATCTGCATCCAATATTACTTAATTTATTCAAAAACATAGAAATGGAGGGAGAACTTCCAAATTCCTTCTATGAAGCCAGCATCACTCTAATACCAAAGGCAGGTAAAGATACAACCAAAAAAGAAAACTATGGACCCATATACTTAATGAACATAGATGCAAAAATTCTCAACGAGATTCTTGCAAACCGCATACAAACACACATCAAAAAGATCATCCACCATGATCAAGTCAGCTTCATCCCAGAGATGCAGGGATGGTTCAATATACGTAAGTCAATAAATGTCATAAATCATATAAATGGACACAAAGACAAGAACCACAAGGTTATCTCAATAGATTCAGAGAAGACCTTTGACAAAATTCAGCACACATTTATGTTCAAAGTCATAGAGGAAGTTGGACT